ATCACTTTAAATCAATAAGAGACTTAAGTCGCGTCTGTTACACGAGAATTCACTCATTGGGGCGAGATGAGTAATTAACAATTGTTTAGTAATGACAAATGCTTATGAAGAACTGTAATAATTCATATGCAAATACATACACTATTTTAAACTTAATAATGATTATATACGTGTGCAAAATTACTTGATAAAAAATATTTATCATTATGCGGTATAGAATAGGTCTGTATGGGAATGGGAACTATATACTGTGTGAAATAGTTGATAAAAATAAGGCAAAAGATAAAATATAAAGTAATAGTTGAACAAAAAGTATTTTTATGAGTATTCAGACAGAGAATCTCAAATAAAGAAGAAAATCTTAATATACGTACTTAGAAAAAACAAATCTCACCATGATATTATACTCGATTTAAATATTTTACGCAGTGAAACTGCAAAAAAAAATATTATGCCATGAAATTAAATAATATTTCCTAATAAATAAAACCAAATTTAGAACTTCGGCAAGCTTCGGCAACTGTCAAATCTCCAAGTGAAAGTCTGAGAAAAGAAAATAGTACATATAACGATATATGGATTTTTAGTTAAATAATATTCGACTAAACTAGATATATTTTTATTTTATAGTAAAGTACACATTCTAAGCATTCTAAAATGGTATCACACTATATGACTTGATATTGTTTTGATACTATAAATTTATACCAAACAAATTTAAGTTACAAAATTATTTTTGTATTTTTTTCATTCCTTGACTTTAGAGGCTCTATTCTAAGAAGTATGAATAGTCAGAGATTTGAATCATATTTATAACGATAGAGTAACTCTTTGGCTACAAGTTGAGGTATTATACATGCACATCCACGGAGTTTTAGAAAAAGTATTTATGAGATGGTTTTCTTAGGCGGGTTCCCACTGTGCGCCGGTCCGCTGAATGGAAGTTTGCGGTACAGCCGAATTGGAAATAAATTTTTTTAATATTATTTTAGTCTATTTGTGGTTGTCTAACAAGTGAAATGGAAACGGAAACTATTTTTGTTCATAATTAAAACATAGTAATGAAACAGCTGTGGTGAGAAAACTATGGCTGATGACATTAATGGTTGATTCATTCGGTATTCTCGTGATCTGGTACAGCTTACAGGGTACACATTTGTTAGTTTTATGAGTCACTATAACTGCATACGCGACAACGTCGCCCGAGGCACGCTCTCGTTGACCCCGACGACCACATAACGGCAGGTAACCTCCCCACGGGCCCACCCGTTCCACCTCGACCACACTTTTACACACACACACGACACCGTCCTCGCCGGCGAAGACGATGACCTCAAACACACAATATCGCGCATTCAACCGGACGCCTGCGCGCGCCCGGGCGCTCCACACCTGCGCCCCCGGGTGCCCCTCCGATCGATCCCCTGTCCAATTCAAACGGGAATCGAAATTACGACGGCCTGAGCCGAGGTTCGAACTCCTAGTGGTGCCCTCAGTCTAAAGTCGTATCAGGCAGGAGTTGGCCTTCAGCCACTCCATAAGTCCTTCCGCGGGTTTGGAGTGCCATCTGCACTCGCCCCCTAACGTCCGGTGAAGTTGTAAAGGCCAGCTGCGGCCAACAGCATTAGAGTAGTCCGGGAAAAAAACTAAATAACGATTTATATAATATTTCTTTGTGGTGAATAGATACTTATTACATATAGTTCTTATTCAGATAAAATTTAAATAATGTAAAGTTGAAAATATTTTTTTAAAATGATAAAGTGTAAGTTTCTTGCTTATTCTCCTTATGTTGAATCTGCAGTTTAAGTGAATGGTAAGATAATGTAAATATTCGATTCAAAATTCCTTATATTAATTAGGTGTATTTGAAATATAATAATTATTATATTTCGTATATATATTTCAATATATACAAATACGAACAAGAATCATTGTACACAACTTTGTTTGTGTATCTAAGATACAATAAATTATGGATATATAACAATTATTGACACTATAATGTAACCACACTACGACATAAAATCACTAACAAAATAACACAAAACAATGAGTGTTCCGTAGAATTATTTCGCCTTATTAGATACTTCTTATGATACTTAATGGGCCAGAAAAGGCCAGAAGAAATTTATGACATAGCGATAAATCCTGAGCAATTGGGATACACGCCCCGGCACTTAGTATGAATTGGGGTTTTGTATACGTTTGTAATAATATTAGGGGACGCCATTCATATGCATACATATATAGCATCTTTATATAGTGTATATATTTTATTTCATTACTAATAGCCTACTCAATGTAAGCTTGAGTGTGGACTAGAGTTGATTACAGAGTACAAAGGCAGGATGCCTTAGTCCTTCGGAATTGTAAGGCATGAGCTATTAAGGGTGTCACGTGATAACATGATAGTATTGCTCATATATGTATGTATATGGTGTACTGTATATATTCATATTTCACCTATAAATATTCTTTCGTCATCCGTCACTCGTCTTATATATAGGTATAATTCTATATAATATTTTCTAGTATCAATTTGTGTAACTTTTCTTAATACACGTTTATCATTAGTTGAGGGTCTATACATTTACTCATCATTACAATTACTACGGATCCCTTATGTATAGATAACGATTGCCACTTCTCAAAAGCCGACCCGTAAACTTGTCATCCCATCAGCCCTCGGTAGTCTAGAGGTTTAGCACATCGCCTTACTTCCGATGGGTACAGAATCCATTCCTCGGACTATTCTAACATTTGTATTCCTGACTATGAATGTTTGTATTGATGTGGGTGTTTTCTATATACATTTTTTATATATTTCGATTTTTTTTGGTATTTTATATCAATTAGTACACAGAACATAAGGTCTGTTTAGCTTGAGAACTATGCTAACATTTGCATCCTATAGTACGAATGTTTGTATTTGTCTGAGTGTTTTCTATGTATAATATATATATATATATTTACAACAAAATGTATTCATGTATTTATATCAATTGTCTAGCTATAACATAACACAAGCTATGCTTAGCTTGGAAACAGCTATTGCCGTATGGATTATCCAATAAAAAAAAATGTAAATAACATAAATATATACCACAATATATAATCTATGTCACTTTTGTAGAAAGTACCTTTCAGTATATTCACTCTTTTTTTATAACATCAGTATTGATATTTATTATTTAAACAATAACCGCAAAGTAATTCTTAGAAGTAGACAGAAAACATATATTCTGAACTTATACACGACGTGTTATTAGACAAGTCCTCTGACTGTACCATGTGGGAATATGCCACTACGCATTCACTCATGCATAAACATAATATCTCCTTTGGAAAGTTTACACTCTATCCGGAGGAGATAAAAACCATCGCTCCTAAGAATATCCTTCAATTCTTGTCGCTGATACCGAATCCCTAAATCTGAATCCCTGAATCTTGTCTTTGTCCCGGGTCTAGATAGCAAACTCTGAAAAAGGGCGAGCACAATATATCTATAGGTCGCAGTACTACAGGTCCAAGCACCTGACAATAGCCTAAACAACCCAATAAAAAAAAATATCATGTGGGAATACAATGGTGATATTTTTTCTTATTTTATCAATTGGATTAGCTGCCCACATACTCATCATTTCCGAGTACTCTTACTAAATCCCATGTTACAAAAGAACAATACTTATTCAGACATTTACATGGGAAATATAGTAGCAAACCATGGGACGTTCGGTCATCGTGTTCGTACAGCGAGGAGAATTTATAGGGCCCCCATAAATCAGTAAGGTACGACTTAGTATGCACTCAAGTAGTTACGGAGAACGTATAGTTTAGGATGGACAATTTTTCTCTGATTTCTAGTTGTAATATATTTATTACGATCATTATTTATTATCGTCATCTCAGTTATATATCAATTATATATCAATAGCCATATATATATATATAGTACTAGCTGTCCCGGCAAACGTTGTTTTGCCTTAAAATAAAATAAAAAAATTTAGGGGTGGACTACCCCTAACATTTAAGGGGATGAAAAATAGATGTTGGCTGATTCTCAGACCTAGTCAATACGCTCACAAAATTTCATGAGAATCGGTCAAGCCGTTTCGGAGGAGTATGGGAACGAAAACTGTGGCACGAGAATTTTATATATAAGATTAAGATCAAACGTAAATTGCGGGAATTTTATTTAAATTTGTAACTTGTCATTTACTCTTCTGCTTATTTTACATTTTTCTGTTGTTTCTCTATAGTTCTCTGTTTCTTTATTTTGTTACTCCATATTATGTTTTCTCCTTCTTACCTTTAATTTGAGGCTATACATATAATTTGATTGCCAGATTGTTAAGTATTTATTAATATCATAGGATTTATCGATATGTTTATATATGTATTACTGTCATAGAAATTTATATATATTTTTGACATTTTTAATTTATATTAGTGCACCGCCAAAAATTTTTCTCTGCACCACTTATGGTTGACTGGTAGATAATGCTGCAAGGTGTTAAATCCGCCATACATATTCTTGTGCACACACTTTATTTTTGTGCATTAAAGTTAAATAAATACATCAGTCACTAAACTAATGTGAACGGACAATGCAGACAGAGGAGTTTCTTCACACACAAATTGTGGATTGGATACTAGTGTAGATACTACAATTTGTTCAGTACAGTAGAACATAGTTTTGTGAAACTGAAGAAGGTTTTTGTTAAGCGATTTTTCTCTATTTCGTTGCAATAAACAAGTCTCATAACAAAAAAATAAAGCGTTTAAATAGCTGCACATATCAAAAAGAATATAAATATCTAAAAAAGACAGGCAAAGTCGTGTGTAACAGCTAGTTAATTAGAACCTGAGAACAATAGACTTATTGTTGTATCACTGGTTACAACATCAAGAAAAGAAAAAAGCAGGTGTCAAAATGTCAGTTAAAATTTTCAATACATACAGTGTGAAATATAATATTTACAACAACAACTATTTTCTTTAAGCGATACTAATATAAATACATTATGAACGCAAAGGTTTTGGTTGTGCTCCTATTTATTGTCACCAATTTTAGTCTTTACCAGAGCAAGAGGTATGATAACTTCACCCTATTCGGGGTTGTACCGGTTGAAGTTGATCATTTGAAGTTTCTACAGAATTTGGAGAAACAGAAGTATATTGATATGGTGTTCTGGAGAAGACCCATTAAGCTGTATCATGATGTACAGTTTCTTGTGAACCCTACGGATAGAGACCTTTTTATAGAGAGAACAGCACATTTTAGAATGAAAGCAGAGTTATTACTACCTGATATTCAGCAGTAAGTAATAATAACAATAATACACTGGACAATTCACACAACGCGGCAACGCCATCCCAAGGAAAGCAGAGCTTGTGTTATGATTACTAGACAACTGATATAAATACTTATTTATTTTTTTAGTGAATATGTAGATAAAACCCAGACCGATACAAACAATTATACTCCTGAATCATCGCGTTGTGCGAGAAATCGAACTCGCGACCATCGAAAGTGAAACTGTGTTTGAATTATAGATGATTTGCTTTTTCTTCTTGATTTCTAAGAAATACTGTAAATATTATTTTAGAGCATTTGACAAACAAATAATAAGAAGATACCAACGTTTGAAGGCCGAGTCGTTTTCCTGGGAGTTTTATCACAATTTGGACGATATTTACCAATGGTTAGCCGATGTAGCACTGAAATTTCCAAATATAACCGAATTGTCTGTTGTTGGTAAATCTGCTGAAGGACGCGAGATATATGCTCTTGCGATTAAGAGATCAGGAGCAAAAGGGACAGTTATAGTGGAAGGTGGAATTCACGGTAATGAATGGATGTCAGTGGAATTTGTGACTTATTTGGCACATCAATTGATTCATTGTAATAAAACAAGTGGTGCATTCTCAAGTGTAGTACATAAATATAATTGGTATTTACTACCAGTTGTTAATCCAGATGGTTACGATTTTACACAAAGAGGGGTTAGTAAATAAAACATTTATCCGCTCTTTTATTTTATTCTTTTTTACATGGGGCGCTGTTCTAGTTCTCAACAAAACTATGTAAATATCTTCTGCGTGCGTACCTCAACCTCACTTATTTAGCCGGTTTGTACGTTGTTTTTGAGTTGTAGCGTGAAAAAAGGCGCCGTCGGATTGCGAAAGACTGCTTTCTCGATCCCCTAACCCCAACAAAAGATAAAGAGCAGGAACACCTTGGGATTTTTCCTAAAAACCTCAAAATAAAAGTTGTGTAAATAAAGATTTTGCTTAAGCAAGAAAAAGCAGTGAAATTACAGGATCGGAGGCATGACATCTGAGGAATATCAAACCATAAGTGTTATCAGAGGCGTCTTATTATTACGTGATGTCCACAGTGCCGTTCATGTACATAGACAATCCTTATCACTTACCATCAGGTGGGTTGTAAGCTTATTTGCATTTGAATTATAGAAATACAAGTAACTATACATTATATAAATGTATATATATATATATATATATATAAACTTTGAGGAAATATCGCATACAAATATTCTTAAACTTAATTACGTCTTGACTCAGCGAGTTTCATCTTTTATTCTATGGTCCTATTCTATTTTTATACAATATTATACAAGTACTATAATAAAGAAGAAAAGTGATTTATTAAAATCTCATTTCAGGACCGGCTATGGAAAAAAAATAGACGTAGTGTGGGTGGGAGCTTCGGTGTTGATCTGAACAGGAATTTCGAGTATAATTTCGGAGGTAAATTTATGTGTATTTTATTGTTTATCTATGGACAATGTCAATGATTAATGTATGTAGTTTAAATAATCAGAAACAAAACTCAAGATTAATGAATTACATATTATAAATGTCCCGAGTTCCCACCAACATGCTGACCACTTCCATGAATGAGGACTGCTGGACGAAGGGTGTGGTGTATCAGCGCTACCTTGGTAGATTGCCGTCATCAGTGCTGTGACCATACAGACAATTTATATTTATTTTTTATTTACTTTTAATATCCTTCATATGTTATGTTAGTCTGTTAGGTAATTATAATATGAGCTACTAGTAGCCTAAAAGAAATAAATTATTAAATTAAAAAAAAAACTGTAATCATAGATGAGACAATCATAGTGAAATTATAGGATAAGAAGCGTTACATCTTAGTCCTCTGCAACGCATGAATGGTATCAAGGGTACCACATGATAATGTGATGTCCGTAGTGGTGACATGTATGGCGACGATTACCACTTACTATCTATCGATTTTACCGTCAGTGCACATTACATAAAAAAAATTATAAACCCTAAAAAATTTTACAGCATACGATGCCAGCAATGTACCTGCAGATGAAGAGTACTGCGGAAATTCACCTTTCTCAGAACCAGAGACGAAAGCTTTAGCAGATTTTATTAATGACAAAAAGGACAGTCTGAGATTTTACTTCTCTATTCATGCTTACGGACAGAAGATTGTTATACCATATGCTGATAGAATTAAACACGTTGACAACTATAATGAGTTGGTAAGTTAGAAGTCAAACACGAGTCGGATTTGCTCAAATGATTTATTAACGACTTGAGTTTGCAACAGGTGTACATGTATTATATATATAAACCTTCCTCTTGATCACTCTATCTATTAAAAAAACCGCTTCAAAATCCGTTGCGTAGTTTTAAAGATTTAAGCATACATAGGGACGAACAGACAGACAGACTGTGTAATAATAATGATTAATTTATACTAATATTATAAAACTGAAGAGTTTGTTTATTTGAACGCGCTAATCTCAGGAACTACTGGTTCGAATTGAAAAATTATTTTTGTGTTGGATAGTCCATTTGTCGAGGAAGGCTTTAAGTTATATGACATTACGCTAAGATCAATAGGAGCGGAACTGCAATGAAAAATATTGTAAAAAGTCCTACCTTCTGCAATATTTTTCAAATGAAACGCCGACGCATTTGCGTGGGATAGCTAGTTTTTTATATAACTTTTTTTTAAGTAATTAATAATAATAATTATAATCTCAGGACAATTCACACAGCGCCATTTAGACCCAAGTTAAGCTAGCTAAAGCTTGTATTATAGGTACTAGATAACTAATACAAATACATAGATAATTTTTTTTTCGTAAATACACATTATACTTAGAAAACACCCAGACCGATACAAACAATCATACTCATGAATACAAATGCTTGTGCCGTGCGAGGAATCGAACCCGCGACCATCGCACGTAAAGCGGTTGGCTAAACCGCTAGACCACCGAGGTCGTCAAGGATATATTTGGATAATTAGAATAAGAAATCTGACAAGCCACTGAACAGACACCTATGTATATAGATGAACATCACTTTATCATGTAACATTCATAACACATGATATTAGTTAGACATAGGAATATGTACTCCATGAAATATGGCCAGAGCCAGCTTCCGATGCAGCAAAGAATTATTGTACTAATTATACGTACCTATCCGCTAAATGTAAAAACGACAAGTCTTATTCACTCAGTCGATCATAATAAATATTCATGTGCGATTTTAAATTCAAATTAGCGTTTGTTTTCAGGAAAATTACGGGAAACAAGCGATAGTGAAAATGTATAAATTATATGGCACGAAGTACAGCGTTGGAACATTCTACGATACTTTGGGTGACTATATATTGATATTATAATACGAAAGTATATCTGTTGTCTTCTAACTGACAGGCCTCGGTGATCTAGCAGTCTAGCACACCGCTTTACTTCCAATAGTGGGTTCGATTCCTCGCACGATGCAAACATTTGTATTCATGAGTATGCTTATTTGTATCAGTCTGGGTGTTTTCTATGTATATTGTGTATGTATTTATAAAAAAAAACATATCTAAGTATTTATATCAGTTGTCTAATACCCATAACACAAGCTCTACTCACTGTGGGGCTAGATTGCACTGTGTCAATTGACCAGGGTTATTTATTTATTTATTATTCATATCCATCCAACAATACCCACGCAAACGATCCTGTAGAAAGTCTATCTCGACAAATATATATACAAATAAGAATAATTATTCTTTATTCAATAACAGGTCTCAGAATATCTGGTAACAGCGCCAGTTGGGTGAAGAAAACTTTTAATGTCAAGTAAGAACTCATATATTTATGTATATATTCTTATTTAAGTATGTATGTAGTTGGATATATATATTTCAATTTATGAATTTTATTAAAATTGTACCTACTTTCTTTTATTATTTATTTAATGTTATTATTTACTTAAATGCCCACTAATCTCTGTTTGCCCTATGGGCGACTGGGAGAAAATGTCTTATGGTGTTAAGTCCGCCATATGCACCTATTTTTTTTTTAATTTGTGCATTAAGTTTTTATAAATAAATAAATAAATGGTATTTATACCATTTACTTAGAGTTTAAACATCCATCAGTTTATTAACATTATTCTTCTTTTAATAAAATAACGATAAATTAAGTTATAGTTAAAAATTATATTACTGTTAACTATATATGTACCTAGGTGTTATTTGTATATATTTATAGGTTTCTCTAAGCATGGGTAATGTGTATATACAAACGTTTCATCCCCAAAATGACGTAAGACCAAACTACAGGATGAAATTAAAAATATAATAAAAAAAAATTAAATTTATAGCCTATGTGTTATTCTGATGCATAAACTATGTTATTGTAAAGTTTAAAATCCCTTCAGTAGTTTTTGCGTGAAATAGGAACAAACATCCATTCATACTCGCAAACTTTCGCGTTTATAATGTTAATAAGATATAGTTTTTTAATGTTAAAATTATAAAAAACTAAGTAGTTATAGTAAAAATAATTTGTATATATATATATATATAATATAATGTTTTTACGGTTTGTCAAAAATGATTAGGATAGATCCTATGTAAATGTAAATGTCTGCTTGCACGAATTCTATGTAAATACATAGAATTCGTGCAAGCAGCGCCGCGGATTTCAACTAGTCACATAATTGATGGGTTTAACATATTTTGTAACCATATGGAGAAAGCTGAACTAAAAATTAATGTTTCTACTAGGCATCTGTCGACTATAGGGGACAGAGACCATTTTCAATTCCAACTCATCTAATATTTATGAAATCTCTGAGTGCAGTGTTAAATATTTTAAAGGAAAAAACAGCACAAAGAAAGTTAGAAATGTTAGAAATGCAACGATTGAAAATTAAACATTCTCGAAGCCATTTCTAAAGTATAAGACTTATTTAAAGACTTTTAAACCATTCTTTTTACTAGCTTTTTTGTCAAAATCACTGGAAGGCGATGGATGCGAGCAGCGCAGGACCGATCGTCGGGGAGATTTGGGGGAGGCCTTTATTCTGCAGTGGACGTCGACGGGCTGAGATGATGATGATGATGAAATGAACTAATGTGATATGAAATAAATGTGGTGCACTCACCTGCACTAACAGTATACGCTAGCGGGGCATCAGTGCAGAATAATAGGACGAGGACGAAGTCAGGTTAGTCAGCCTATTGTGGTCAATTGACTAGGAATTAATCAGGATGTTTTCCAGGATGGACACGTGGAGGTCAACCTGAGATGACATTGCTAACAATAAGGGTCACAAATTACTAACAATCGTCTTTCCCCTAACAGATTATTTACCAAAATAGTTGCATAAAACACTAAATAGTATGAACTCAAATTAGTCAGTCCATTTTGGTCCAAATCTCCAGGAATTAACGAGGATTGTTTCCAGGGAGGACCGCGCGGAGGTCAACCAGACAAGAATGCAATTGGGGTCACATACAAAATAGTGTACAAAATATAAAACACTATTAAATATTTTTTTTTTATTCTAGGCACGTCTTCACACTTCTACTCCGTGACAATGGATCTTACGGCTATGCCTTGCCTCCTGATCAAATAGTACCAACATGTAAGGAGGGTCTAGTCGGCATGGTTGAATTAATGACAGCACGACCAAAACGCATTAGAATGAACCTTTTCAATTCTGCAACTAGTAACTTCAGCAATACATTCATATTTATTATACTCATTTGTTTCAGAATAAATCATTATTAATGTAATATTGTGTATATTATTTAATGCTAACTTAGATTTATTAATGACATTTATTTATTTTATTTTAATAAATAACTTTTATCATTATCATCATTATATAGTATACAACAAAGTCGCTGTCACTGTCAGGCCGGCCCTATGTATGCTTAAATCTTTAAAACTACGCGACGGATTATGAAGAGGTTTCTTTTAATAGATAGAGTGATTGTAGGGGAAGGTATATATGTATAATATATGTACTCCCGGCGAAGCCAAGGCGAATAGCTAGTATATCGATAACTGAAGAATATACCCACTTAAATAGAATCGATGAATATATATAAACGTAAGAATAGGGATAGGATAATAATATCAATAAATATTAGAAGATAACACACATTATATATACTATATATAAAATATATCCATACATACATATACGAAAATACAAATATTATAAACAATATATACATACATATATAAATACACAAAAGTGCAAGAAAAAAACAACAATGTCATATGCCAAGGAACAAGACACATAGCAAGAAGGAATACAGGTAGATTTAAGTGGAGAGATGAGATTTGACCGAGATGGTAGCAGTTTCGATTAAGGAATCATTAAACACGGTTGGAATTTGACTGAGCTTTTAAAAAGCGTTTCGTTAAACGTATCGCTTTACTTCTGATGGTAGCAGTTTTGATTGAGGAATCATCAAGCATGGTAGAAACATTTGTGTTAAGCATGATTGTTTGTAAGTTGTGTGTACATGCATATTTTGTATGTCTATACAAAAAAATGTATCTAAGAATATATATCAGTTATCTAATACCCACAACAAACTCTGCTTAGCTTGTGACTAGAAGTTATATGAATTGAAGTTGTAAATAAAGAATACTAGTCATCAATTTGTATTTCACTAGTTGTTACCCCTGACAATCTATTTTTACATAAATATAAAACAGTCTAATATCCCACTATGTGATACAATTTACTTTACATGTAAAATAATAAGATATTATCAGCCGTTTATTTACAGAAAGATAACAAACATACAGATAAACGTACACAATTTTTTATTTATGATATTAGTATGGAATTATATGCTTTATCACTATCGATGTTGGTTGAAACTCGTAAAACAAACAGATTATTATTAGTAGATTGGATATCATAGATCTTGAATAGTTATTAATCTTTTATTATTCATCACTTATTCATACAGGATGCTTTGTCTATGATTATAAATCATAGATAAATGTTGTTTACTCAGCTTATTCATTATGTAAATACTATTTTTTCCTGTTTTAGACTATTTTTTATCTAAGTATTTCAACAGCCTATTGTAAATGCTAATCGAATCAAGGGTAGAGTGTATAAAATTTATCCTGTTGTTATAGAACAATATGTTGATTATGTAGAACTATTTAATAATTATAGTTACGATTAATTATAGATTATAGTTACACAATATGTATAATAATGGCATATAATATATATGTTACTTCGTAACTATGTAAGTGTAAAATTAACAACGTTTTTTTGTATTTTTTTTAATTAATTACTAACTACGTGCCCCGGCTTCGCACGGGAGTATTATATATATAAACCTTCCCCTTGAATCACTATTGAAAAAAACTGCTTCAAAATCTGTTGTGTAGTTTTAAAGATTTAAGCATAGGGCCAGACAGCGACAGCGACTTTGTTATATACTATGTAATGATTATTTGATAGGTTAGATATGATTAGAATTTTAAAACAGACAACTACATATACTGTAGGATACCGTATACATATTACCTATATATATATATATATAAAGTCTGATACTCTTTTAAATAAATATAGTTATAATGGAAATAGTATTCCGTTTCGAAATATGCAGGGATTATAACGACAACTCACAATAATGAAATTGCAATAAGAGACATTTCACAATCTGTTATATTCTCAATACATATGACTCTATATTCATTCAAATCGTAATGAATTTAAAAAAAGGTACAAGAAAAGAGTTTTGATACGCAAACATTGAAATTTCGTCAAATTTTGAAGTATGGAATAATGTGAAATCTCTTAGGCTCATGAATTGGCATGTTTTCTAAATCATTAAATAGTATCAACGCAAATTATGTCATTTGTTATATATTTAATAATGATATTATTGCAAACGAAAATGAGTTTAACAAAAAAATATCACAACTATACTCTGTATCGGGCGATACCAGTTATTCAGAAGCATTTGAATTTCTTCAGGAATTTGAGTGACGATTATGATGTGAAATTTTGGAGAAATCCCGGTTTGGTGTATAGACCAGTGGATTTTCTAATGGCTCCTGAAAGGCAGAAGGCATTCTTGAGAGAGGCTAACGATTCTGGTATATATTTGACAACAATAATTCCGGATGTGCAAAGGTACCTATATATTACTAATCTATCGCTTGGTCATTACCAAAGAATGGATGTATATTATCAATAATTTGTTATCGTATTTGAAATGTAATAAACACTGATTCATAGCATCTTCATAATTATCATCCGATCTGGCAGAATAATTTCCTAAAAACATCTTACTTTTAATAATACAGATAAGAACGTCCGACTGATTAAGATCTTTTCAACGATATCAAAAATAAGTTCTAAGATTTACATATACATATATAATGTACTAGCTACCCACATCGGCTTCGCCCGGGTGTACATGTATTATATATATAAACTATCCACTTGAATCACTCTATCTATTTAAAAAAACCGCTTTGTAATCCGTTGCGTAGTTTTAAAGATTTAAGCATATATTGGGACAAACAGAGAGCGACAGCTGTACAGCTGTACCGTGTAATTATATATTGTATATTATATTTGATGTGATACGTGGGGAATAATTCTGATTTGTATGTTTATGTTAATAATAATAATAATAATTTATTTATTTGCTGTTGTGTAGTAATTGGACACAACTTAACTTGAGATGGTCGTGAGTTCGACCCTCGCACAAATCGATTAACACTTAATATATACAGTAATAATAAATAATATAATTATGTTATAATGTATTAATGTAATTGTTAGGTTTTTTAATAAAATTTGCATGCCCACTGTAAAATGGCATATTACAGCGTAGCCTGCTAATGTACAGTACATTAGCAGGCTAGCAGGGTTCAATTGTTATAATAAATGACCTATTTACTTACTGTAAGTTTATTTATTATTATTTACTCACTTAATAATAATAACATGTGATAAAACGAAGTATGCTAGTTACATAAATGATTGCTCGAATACCTAATACAAAATTTCAATCACAAACGTATTTAAAATTTTAACAAAGGTATTTTAATCATTTGTTTACTACTGGTAACATAATATCTGCTTAGCTTGGGCCTAGATGATGTGCGATATATCCTGGAATATTATTATTAACTAGCCGTACCGTGTATCGTCCCCGTGGAATTTAAGTTTTTTTTTCTAAAATAAAAGTAGCCTAAGTTACTCCCAATTACATCAGTTATTTGCCAATAAAAGTCCCGTCAAAATCGACCGAAACATTTCAGAGAATAGCCGGAACAAACAGACAGACAGATAAAAATTGTAAAAAATGTTATATTGGTGTATGTACCATATTTATATTCATATGGTTATTTCAATATTACAAATAGACACATCAATTTTATTTATATGTATAGAGTATAGATTATTACGTACGCTTTTATTAGTATAATAATAATTAACTTGAACACTTTTGAAACTGTTTTTTTTTAACGATAAAAATAATATTAATTATATTTATTATAGGGTATTCGACATGCAAACAGTAAAGGCTTATATTAGAAGAAATATGGATTCATTCGATTGGCGAGGTTTCTATCGGTTAGATGATATTTATAACTGGTTGAAAGACCTAAACAAGATGTATCCGACAGAGATTCAATTGCAAAGCATTGGTCGTACATATGAGAATCGAGATATATTAACAGTGAGAGTAGCCTTAAGAGGAAGCAAAATGAGGTAATTTAATAGTATATTATTGACTAATAAAATATATTAATTTCATTAATTTCTATCAAAAATATAGCTATTTTATTTTGATGCATAAGCTATACTTAATGTAAAGTTGCATCAAAATCCGTTCAGTAGTTTTTGCGTAAAAGAGCAACAAACATCCATATTTTCGCGTTTATAATATTATTAAGATTTAGTTTCTATCTGTTTATACTTACACCAGTTTCTGTGAGTCCCTTTGTCTCAGTAAAACATGCTATAGTTGAATGATGTCAACAGTATCTAATGAACTTAGCCGTAGAATAAATAAATAAACCAAAACAATTCTCACAACGCCATCTAGTCCCACGGTAAGCAGAGCTTGTGTTATGGGTATTAAACAATTGATATAAATACGTATATAATTTTTTTATTGTAAATATACATATACATAATATACACAGAAAACAACCAGACTGATAAACAGACAAATAATCATACTCATGATGATTATATCGTGCGAGGAATCGAACCCGCTACCACCGGATGGAATGCGATTTGCTAAAATAGAGCACCGAGGCTGTCATAGAAAAAAATTGCATTGCATTAGCTATCTGCGAGTGAAAGTCCCGTCAAAATCTATTCTGCCATTTCAGATATTTTCAAAAAGAAACAGACAAATACCTATGTATCTATATAGGCATTAGGTAATTTGTTTTATTAAATTTTTGATGTATGTAAGTACCGTACATACTTTCATATGCATTTACTGAATAGTTATTAATCTGATATTACAAACAGACACTTTAATTTTAATTATTTGTACAGATCAAAAGTAATCTTTGAAAGTGGTATTCACGCAAGAGAATGGATATCGCCTGCTTTTGTTACTTATCTAATTAATGAAATTGTACATTCAAGAGATTCAGACAATGAAGAACTGAAAAACATTGCTTTGACGTATGAGTGGTACTTTATACCTGTGGTGAATCCTGATGGTTACGAATATAGTCATGAAGAGGTTTGTTCTTATTATTGTTATTATGAGGAATGTTTTTTTATTCAATTATGTTATGATGTTTATAGAGAAATATATACATATAGATGTTACGCTTTGTTCAGGGCACAGTGCATATCATGTTACTGTTTAAGAAACTTCTCCGAGGTAGCGTTGTATATTATTTCACAACACTAACATTTTCTCCTCCGATCGATTCCCCGTCCAATTCAAACGGGGATCGAACTTACGACGGGCTGAGCCTAGGTTCGAATACCTGGCGGTGCCCTCAGACTAAAGTCGTATCCGTCAGGTGAGATTTGGCCTTCAGCGACTACATAGGTCCTATCGTCCGGTGAAGCTGTAAAGACTAGCAGCAGCCGACAGTATTAGAGTAGTCCGAAAAAAAAGTAACATTTCATATTTCACCAAAAGTCTTTACTTCTGTATCTTATTGCAATTATATCTTTTATGTTTATACTAGCTGTTCCCGCGACTTCGTCCGCGTGAAATTTAACTTTAAATTTCTATAAATGTTCGTCTTAATTTATTCGTTCCATTAGGTACTGATAGGTTCTAACGAATATAATTACATCCTGGATCATTCCTTATTTTATCCCCATGGTGGTTGAATTTGTCAAAATCCTATTCAAGCGAACGTCTTCATCATAGTAGCTCCAATCATTCATTTCAGTTCAATCAGTCGTAAATCTAAGAAGATTTATACAAAATTTCATCCCCTATTTTATCCCCTTAGGGGTGTAATTTATCAAAATCCTTTCATAGGGGATGCCTACGTCATAGTAGCTTTATGCATGCAAAGTCTTAGCCCGATCGGTTTAAAATTGACATAGTTTAATACAAAATTTCATCCCCTATTTTATCCCCTTGGATTAAATCATTATCCTTTTTTAGCGGATGCCTACGTCATAATATCTACCTGCATGCCAAATTTTAGCCCGTACAGTCCAGTAGTTTGGGCTGTGCGTTGATTGATTACTATGTCAGTCAGTTACCTTAGAGTTATATATATTTAGATACATATTACTTTAATAATATGTTTTTTTGTCAGAGGTACAATAAAGATAATTCATTCATTCATACAAAGGTATCTAATCAGACGATTTATACACATATTGCACTTTTAGTTTTTACTAATTCTACTCAATACACCTAAATACATATTTTGTTATTATCCTATATTATTCCACCACTGTTTTGCCTGTTTTCATTCACGGTTTTATATTTTGTATCATCTCGAGATAAAGGTAATCTGGGTAGGTCTATTTAGATAAGGGTGGTATATATATATTTTATAATTTATTAGGAAATCAATACAGTAATATATGAGTTTATTATATAAACTAGCTTTTGCCCGTGGCTTTGCTCGAGTTAATTTATCCCCTCAGGGGTAGAATTTATCAGAATCCTTTAGGGGATGCCCACATCATAGTAGTTTTATGCAGCCCGACCGGTTTTCATACAAACTTTCATCCCCTATTTTATCCCCTTGGGGGTAGAATTAATCAAAATCCTTTTTTAGAGGATGCCTACGTCATAACATCTACCTGCATAACAAATTTCAGCCCGATCCGTCTAGTGGTTTGGGCTGTGCGTTGATAGATCACTATGTCAGTCAGTCACGTTTGAGTTATATGTATTTAGATTAATAGATATACATTTATTACACTGTGTTAGATATTTTCCAATAAACAAATAATAAGCTTGTTTATGTTTAGGATAGATTGTGGAGAAAAAACCGTCATAACGGACCGAATGGGGTGGATATAAATAGAAATTTTGGTACTGCTTTCGGAAGTAAGTAACACCTCATTTACTAGTTACCCATTCCGGAATCATTCAAAACACAGGTTCTAAACCAAGTTAACCTTTTTAAGGTGTACAATACTCTAGTACATTATTTTGATTTATCTCGTAGGGTTCAGTCAGCGTTTGCGATTTAAGCGCAAAAAAATGTGTTAATTTACGACATCACACTCCTCTTTAAATTTATCAGTGTTTCTCTACAATAGTATGCATTTATTATACACATAAATCTTCCTCTTGAATCACTCTATTTATTAAAAAAAACAGCTTCAAAATCCGTTGCGTAGTTTTAAAGATTTAAGCATACATAGGAACAGACAGCGACAGCTACTCTGTTTTATACTATGTAGTAATGTGACAATGACAATCCCAGCGAACTTGTACTAAATAACAAAAATAAAATAAAACTTAGACTAATGATACCGACTGCAGTAGTAGAGACTAAAGTATCCATGCAGATGACTTTTTTCAAATTGTATTTTCGTTTAATGCAAGATTTGGATTACATACAAATTTCATCCTAAAAGAAGTTGATTTTCTTTTGTGGATCAATTTTTTAAACAGATGCTACTTACTGCATGTATATGTTCATTCTACAGCTGTTGGTGTAAGTTTGGATAAGAAATCCGATATATACTGCGGTCCTGCAGCATTCTCAGAAAAGGAGAGTCGGGCACTTGCAAATTTCATACGCTCGAAGAGTAGGAACTTGGAGTTTTATATTGGATTTCATTCCTATGGCCAATATATGATTATACCATTCGCTCACTTGAAGAATCATATTGGAAATTATGATGAAGTGGTAAAATATTTATGCCTTTTATATAATTTTAATAATGTTGCTTAGAGAGTAGATTAGGAAGAACGATTGTTGAATTTTTTCCCTCTTGTTTTGATTCTAATTTACAGAAAGCAATGGGAGAACAAGCAGCCAAAAGAATATCTCAAAGATACGGTACATCCTATACTGTGGGTACAGCATACGATACTGTAGGTAAGGTTTGGAAATAAAAAGATATATTTTTATTATTCTATTGTGAAACTTTAGGAAAATTTGCACAAAGTTTATAATTTCTTTATTTATTTTTAACAATACAGTATATTGTCGTCGTTCTTTTGTATATAAATGATTTATAAAATTAGTATCTGTACATTTATCGTACTAATATTGCATTCTTATTAATAAGGTAAAAGAATTTATTCGATAAATATTTTTTAATTTTATTATTTTTCGAATTATTCTAGTGGTTATGTATATCTTCACCAAATGATTGAGATGAGTGATTGAGATGATGAAAGAGTGAGATGGCACTTCAAACCCACAGAAGGATCTATGTAACGGCTAAAGTCTAACTCCTGCCTCATGCATACGACTTTGATATGAAGGCGCCGCTGAGGTTCGAATCTCAGCTCAGGCCGTCAGAATTACGGTCGCCATTTTAATTGGACACTGATCATACAAGTCTTTACGGGTTTGCCGAACAATGGCTGGCGAGTGCAGATACTTCAACTCGTGGAAAGACTTATGGAGCGACTGAAGGTCAAAACCTGCCTGACGTTTACGATTTTAGTCTGAGGGTACCACCAGGGTTTCAAACCTCAAACCGTCAGAATTTCGATCGTTGTCTGAATTGGATTGTCCCATAAATTGTACTGTTTTCAGGATATATAACTTCGGGTGTCAGTGGATGTTGGGTTAAAAGAAATTTTGATGTTCCGTGAGTAAAATCAATCAGATTTTATTTAAATAATAATATTTACATAATATATGGGAAAAAGAGCAGAGATTTGAAGGAAAAGTGAATTGAATGTTGAATACTATTATTCCGGCTTTGAATGAAATGAGAATGAGTATATCTATATTTGTAAGAAGCACTAATTAAAGATAACAACTTAGGCTTTGAAGCCGGCTACCGCAAGGGAAATCCAAGTAGCGCCCGTGACTTGTGACACGGGTGTAGGTTTAAAAGGCCCCTTTAGAATGCATTAACACTCACCTTTACTATTTGCAGCTTTCCCCCAGGCCCAACTATAAAAACAGGATAAACCCATTCCTAATACAATTTACTTTAGTATCCAAAACACAACCGGCACGCTCTGCGCTCGTCGACTGAATGCCGCGGCTCACCCAACGAAAGAGGATTATTCAACTACCGACCTCCGTATTTATAGACCGAAGTCAGTGTAGTAGGTCGGTCTATAAATACTAGATGGCACTATTTTAGAATATATGTAATAATCTTTACATTGGTTACTTCATTAGTACCAAAACACAAATTACCTTCTTTTAATATCATTTTAAAATATCTGATTATTTGTACAATATTGATGTGAACTCTAACATATTAAGTCACTAATATAGATGTTCTTACTCCTTAATAACCTTTTCCAACCTTTATACCTCAGATTTTTTTCTATTATTACTAAATACAAAGAATGGTAAAGGTGAATTGAATGGAAAGTGACAAAAAGAATAAAACCAAATGAAACATTAATTAGTTTCAGTAAGAGAAAAAAATACACAACAAAAGTCTGTACTAAATTGTGTGTACCAGTGTAAATAAAAATAATAATAATCTCAGGACAAGTCACACAACGCTATCTAAGCTAAGCTAGCTAAAGCTTGTGTTATGGGTACTAGATAACTGTTACAAATACATAAATACATTTTTTCTTCGTAAATACATACATAATATACATAGAAAATACCCAGACCGATACAATCAATTATATTTATGAATACAAATATTTGTGCCGTGCGAGGAATCAAACCCGCGACCATCGGAAGTAAGGCGGTGTACTAAACCACTAGACCGTCATCGTCAAAGTGTTGTAATGGAAGAATTAAAAGTATTAGTAGCAATATGATAAGATATTCCGCAACGTAATCATAATAGGGATATTATGTCTCATAATATTACACTTTGGGAAAATCATACATTTGATGTACTTTATCTTCAATTTTATTTTTAATCCTTTAGTATGTTTAATGCAGGTACGTGATTACTTTCGAGCTACGTGATAATGGCCAAGAAGGTTTCGCTCTATCTCCTGAGCATATTATACCAACATGTAAAGAGACTATGGATGGCATCATATCCTTACTAATTCCAAGATCGAACAGATTTAACAAAATTATGAAGCATTATTCCCGAGCATCTGAACATAAACTATTGAAGAGTGTCGTTCTGTTATGGAACTTTCTATTATTTATTATTTTGCGTTTTGATTGAATATATTGTGTACAATAAAATCTTTTTCTTTTTCACTAAACCTGAATATGGTCGACCTACATATTAAAGAAAGCTACTGGCTATTTATACCTTTGTTAGGTATTCTATTTATTATTTATATAGACATTTATCCCAGTTTTATTTAACCTATATATTGGTTAACATTTATTTAACCTATATGTTGATTAACATTTAACAACTTATGTTGTTATACTTTCGTCGTAGGTGCTTCTTACAATCTGTTTTACGTGAAACATTAACAAATAGACAGACAGTTCACATGATAATGTCATGCTTTTATTATATGTAACGATAATAATTATGAAGAAGTACAAAATTATAATAGTCTAGTATAAAACACAAGACCCCAAAATCCTAAAATCAGTTAATTCATTAATAAAAACACAATGATTACCGTAAACCCTTATTCTGACGTGTACATACAGGCAGCCGTACCCTAACCGTAACATAAACGCATAAATGATGTTATCAAAGGTGGTAATATGACTAATGATGCGTGTAATCGTTTAGGCGTCACGACAAATCGTCATTTCACGTGATCTGATACCATTTATTTTGGTGCTAGCAGCCAGTATATTTCGAACTGCCACCCTCCCTCAGCAAGATTGAGTTCGGACGATATAAGAGAGGCATTTAACATTCTCACGTGTCATGATATTTTGGACAATATGTTATAGTAGTAACGACATGGACATTGCTAAGGTAGTGAATGAGTGATAGTGAACTTTAATGTTAGATGTAGAGGGTTGATTTCAGTTTGTGTTAATGTTAATTGTAGTCCAGTTTTTAGGGCGTTGTATTATCTTTTATTACGGGAATTAATTGCTTACTCCCGTTTGTTGAACCGCATGAGTCTTAATTTCATTGTTTTTTTATGATGGTGCCTACCTACATATATAACAAATTATAAAGGACGAGAAATCTGTAAATACAATTTTTTTTCCTATAAATTAGAGAAATGGGTAAATTTTAATAACTTGTTTTGGAATTCTAACATGTATATGTCTCTTTGTAGTAAGGAGTCGAATTGTAATGGCAATTAATAATATAAACGAAGTATATTGATAAATATAGTAAAAGTAAAAAGGTACATATAAATTGTTTGTGTTATACAGGCAAAACTAACAGAAATGGATAGTTAATGTATTTCATGAAAATGTATTTTTTTATAATAAAATTTATTTTCTTAATTATTTAAGAAAAGTAACGTTTCAGTTGTTAGTTTTTCCTTAGATATTTTACTGGATGTTGCTTATAATATGCATATTGCATATCCTCCATCATATATACTAGCTCGCTAGCTTTTTTTTATTTATAATAAATTTTACAAAACTCAAAATATTAAAATCTCGAGTTAAGCTAAGTAGTTTAAATCTGACCAACTGCAATGTGTGTCAACTTATTCATTTTTGACTGACTCCGATGAAATACTGATTTTAAACAAAAAGATAATCCTAGACGAGATAGAGGCTTATAAATTTTTATTATATAGATACCTTCTTCCATGTTGGAGTCAAATGACAGTTAACAATGGGTATATTTGAATCCAACTCTGACTGCACCATCTGAGATCACAGTCGTGAAAGTATATATATATATTATGTAACAAGATTTTACAAGCACCACATCGTCTCGTTAGCATTAACAGCCACCGCTTGAGAATAAGCGAAATTTAAAGATACAGCACAATTCTTGCCAACTTCCGAGTGCCCCTTCAAAATCCCAGTTGCTTTTGTCCGCTGGAAGCGCTGGAATACTTACATTATTAGTAGTTGGTTATTGCTTTCTTTATTAACTCGAAATTTTTTAAAATATTTTTAATAGATTAAATTCAATATTTTTAAAATAGAATAAACATATGTAATCTTTATTAAAATAAATTTAAGTTTTAGCATTTTTGATTAGTCACATTTTTTTATTGAATTGAATATAATGTATGCATTTTCAGCATAAGAAGATTGACCCAGAACAGATGTCTGTTCTATTTTATACAACTGATAGATATTGGATATTTTGATCACAAATTTATCTTCATTTTGAAATTACATCCCAATGAAATTTTACGTAGATTTCAAAGATAATTCAACACTAATTTTATCGACATTGCGAGAAAAAGTTACCATTATATTTTCATGAGCCATATTTTTTTTCTTTATTTATTTAATTCAGGCTACATGGCCCATATTATAAATATGTTATAAACTAATATATATAAGTCAGTCTATAGACTAACATAATATATGACATATTTAATGTGACTAGACTTTTAAATACACAATGAACTGCTTAAATCGGCCGTTGTTTCTTGGGAGTGGTCTCTGGCTTTCAGCCAAGTCTGGATTAATTAATTAGGACACCGGCACACTTCCACCTTCTTACAAACCTTAAGTAGGTTAATTTTTAAGTGCATTAGGAGGATCTTTCTATGTGCTTGTTTTGGTTCGTCTTTTTTAGTTTACGAAGAAAGTTTTCGAAAAATCTACCTTTAAATAATATACCTTACTACGTACGTTAAAAATCACTCAGACCAATACAAACAGCAACTAACTTGTGAATACAAATACAGGAATCGAACCAACATTGAACACGTTTAAACATTAGTATTACATTTCTTACATGTAATTTGAATGACAAACAAATTGACGGCCCAACTGATGGAAACAGTTTCCGGCTTTATACATGATTTTCATCTATGTATGTACATATCAAGGCCGTGACACTCTCTCCGATCGGTCCGCCTTCCAATTCAAACGGGGATCGAAACTAGAACTGACCCCAGGTTAGAACCCCTAGCTGTGTCCTCAGACTAAAGTCATATCTGTCAGGTGAAGTTGGCCTTCAGCCGCTCCATAAGTCCTTCCGCGGGTTTAGAGTCTCTGTTTGGAGATCTGAACCGGACCTCTAACGTCCGCTGAAGCTGTAAAGGCCAGCTGCAACCAGCACCATTAGAGTAGTCCGAAAAAGACCAACACATGATCATGTGATACTCCTGTCAGATTTCGTATCCTGCAATTGCACTGCCTTATCTCAACTCTTCAACCGATACACAACTTATAAAGCAAACTGCTTGGAGACTTATATAGCTGATACTGAGATACTCAATAGAAAGTCTATGTCGGTAGATACATATACATAATATAAGTGAATAATATAATTTTCATTGAGTAAAGTAAATTAAGTAAAAAGTTATCTGTGCAGGCAAATAAAAAAGTTTTGTCGTTTATTCAATTAAAACTTTTTAACTGTTCGAAATAGCTAATTAATACTTTGAACAAAATTAGGACAATTTTATTTGTTAATGGCACAGCAACAGTGTGATTATAATTTCATTTGAATACAACATTCAATATATAAACAGTAAATAAATATGTGATAAATAAACAGTCGATGATTATAGGTCTATCATCACCTATTTAGTCATCATCTATTTAATTGCTTTTGTGTATTAATTGTTTTGCTGTGACATGCGACTACATCTGTACAAATTTTCATCGCCTATTATCACCACACTACCAAACGTATATACCAACTATATAAAAGACTACAATTAACAAAAATTCCCTATAAAAAAAGTTTTAATTCGAAATAGAGCGACATGGGAAATACGGTAGAAATTTATTACAATTAGGGAAATAATATGTGGATGTGTGAGGTCAGGTCAGGTTTTTTTTTCGGACTACTCTAATGCTGGGAGCGGCTGAAGGCCAACTCCTGCCTGCCGGATACGACTTTAGTCTGAGGGCACCACTAGGGGTTCGAACCTAGGCTCAGGCCGTTGTAATATGGATCCCCATTTGAATTGGACGTGGGATCGATCTGAGGGGGATCAGGTCAGATGCCAGTGATCAATCTTCGCGATTTGTTGTTTTCGTTGACGTTTAAATGAATGAATAGTAAAATATCAATAAATATATACCTTCGCGTATATAATTTATAGCGTGGATTCTAAATCGAAGCATTGATCTAATACAAAATGTGTCTTTACATGAGATCGTTTCAATGTTTCGGTTTTGGCGGCCATCCAAACATTACATGTTACGCTATCCATTTGTTGTTCTACTTGTTGGGGATTTGCTGGATTTATTGGTTTTTAGACAATAGCAGATAATTGTTTAAACAGTGATTTGTTTTGATCGATCAATCAGATATTACGAAAATTAATTTATAACTATAATTATAATTACTAATATACAAATTAACAGAAAAAATTGTAAAAATTGATCTAATTAATTGTAATATCAACAGTAATCTCAGGACAATTTACACAGCGCCATCTAGACCCAAGTTAAGCAAGCTAGAGTTTGTATTACGGGTACTAGACAACTGATACAAATACGTAGATATATTTTTTTTATAAACACATATTATACATAGAAAACATAAAACATACAGACTCATACAAAGAATCATACTCAAGAATACAAATGTTTGTACCATATGAGGAATCGTACCCGCGACCACCAATAGAATAGCGGTGCGCTAAAACCGAGGTCATCTAAATAATAATATATTTTTATATGTAAATATAATAAATGATTAATAAATTCAAATGTAGTCTCAGTGAAAGCGGATTTAGATTTCTACAAATCTAAGAATTGCCGAAACAATTGCATGTGATCCCATTCATTATGGCGGTGCGCATTAGTGACTGCAACCAGCGGCGTAGACGACGTGGCCTGATTTATCGGACCACCTCCTGCCCTTAACGACACATGGTGATGTACGACCATTTGGTACTGGCCCAAGTATAGAGAAATAGCGGAAGCGATAGCGGATACTGATTACATTATATCCTTTTGACAGAAATACAATAGCATATGCAGGGGTTAGTATAGTCTTATTAATTGAATTTAAAAATGAATCTGTATTTTTTGTTCTGTATTGTTTTTTTTTTCATTTGAAAAGTTTATTGACAGTTATTCTCAGCTCGAAAGCACTCTAATCTAACGGTACATTTAACGTTTCAAAACAGTCTGTAAT